GCTCCGTCTATAGAAGTCTATGGTTCAAACTGCCGCCACGCAAAAAAGCACGCCGCTTATTGGCTGGAAGGAAGGCTACCCCCTCTCTTCATGCGCAATGGTTCACCTTGTATCACGGTCTTACATACAGGTCTGGTAACTCATATGGTGGGGGTAGGTCGCTTAGCGAAGAAATTTTGTAGTTCTTGTAATGGCCACAGCGTTGCAGTCTATGTTCTTTTGGTGGCGAGGGACGCTGGACGCCGAGGGGATATGTCGAGTTTACCGTGCATGGGACAAAGACAGACAGATATCCCTCCCGGCCTCCAGCGTCCCTCGCCACCAAGAGAATTTCCTCGCTAAGCGACCTACCCCCACCATCGAAAATTAGAGGCAGTCCCCGGACCTGTATACAAGACCGTGCCTTGTATACTTCCACCATGAAGAATGTATAAGGAGACCGAACTAGGTCTGGATCACGACACCGAAAGCGGGCCGACATTTTTGCCATCCAATGAATCAAAATTTTGCCACTTGTAGCGCTGGCGTCGCCTTACGCGATTAAGAATTCGCTCATGAGTTACCGATCCTGATCTCGTAGATAGAGCGTATAACTGTTGTTATCTAGACTAGAGGTCAATTTCTGAAATTTACGAAAATTACAAAAGTGAGTGAATATTTATAATTTCAATGTGTGAATTCGCTCACTTTTGTAATCTCCACAAGTTTCAGAGATACACAATCCATCTCCTCATCTTATTTACAGATCGAATGTATATTATATAACCACGAAAGCTTCATGCATATGACAATCATGTGTCACGTACGAATGCGAATGGAGTTAGTTGATGACAGCGCTCCCAGTATTGCTTTTCAGAACGTCTGGCGGGCACAAACATCGGCCCATTCTGATTACGGGCAGTTCGGTCTCCTTATACATTCTCCATGACTTCCACCATGGGGAAGTCCAGGTTCAAACCCTGGCTGAGGTGATATTTTTCGCAATAAATTTTCTCTAATTAAAATTGCCAGTTGTGTCGGTTATCAATTTTCCTACACTGTTTATTCTGATAATATAATAATTTATACATATCTCATATGCCGCAATTGTTATCCTCCGAGTTATATTTTCTTACTTCCGCGGAAGACCTCGTTAAAATGAGATAATTAAAGTGGGGTTCAACGAAAAGCGTCCGACATTCGATGACGAAATTGTTATCGCTTTAGCCGATCCGCGCAGAGTGACTCGTGAGAATGACTGTTTTACGGAATCTCGAACGCCCGCCTGGCAAGCCTCGCCTCCGCCTGCTCCTTCGGGAATCGTAATCGCAGCTACGTGCTCGTGATGGCTTTGATATGGGAATAATAGCGATGCGAGAATACGTACCTGGAGTACCTCGCGCACTCGTAAACTATCTCGGGCGTGGCGTTGGGCGCCCTGATTCGCGGATAGTTGCAACGCCGAAAGGAACTGAAGTACGCGTCCGCCTTTCCCAGCAGTCGTCCCTGAAATACACAAGACCGCGGAAATGCGGCGGTTACACTACTGCGTTTCGCTCTGTAATGAAGCTATACATAGTAGGTACCGAGCTCGCTAACTTTGACGAAATCTCGAGAGCGAACTTCAAATTATGGTCTGATAAAAAAGAAAGTCGATGAAAATACAGTTGAGCTCGTGAATATTAAAGAAATTTGCAGACTTAATTTTATCCCCCCTCTAATGTAACTTTCCTGAGTTGTTTGTAGAATGGACGGTAATTGCAGGAATAAGATGAGGAATATTTGAATAAGTGTGAAGTAGAAACGTTGGCGTCAATTTGGCGTCATTTGAACGCCGCTGATTCATGACACGAAGATTCTTGCGTCGCGCGAACATGCAACAGCAAGAGACTTATGCATTCTATTCATTTATATGCGAAGGCGATGGCACAGCAAGGGAAATTTTCTCCTCTTTCCAACAGATTTTACACGGCGCCAAAGAAACGGAAAATGTCTCGCCGTCCCGTTTGAATGCTTTTGATTGCTTCTCTTAATACGAAAAAAATATAGCGCGACCGTCTGGCGAAGGAGGTGGTCGTAATAAGCTCGCTTGTCGTTTGCCAAGTGCCGTTTCCTTCGAACATGTCCCTCTTTTCGCGTTTGTTTCCACTAATAAACCGTAATAAAAGAAGGTCTCCAATTAACTGTAAGATTTACTAACCAAATTTCAAGAAACCTTTATTAATAATATAGTTGCTTACACACATGATGTCATAAGATGTAGCACTTAATTTGCACTTGTAAAGCGTGTATAAGAAATGAAAGATAAAAATCACGCGAAGGAATTAATTGGTTCTAAAGAGCAGCGCCGTGCGTTAATTAAACTGATGAAACGCTTTGGATAACAAGATTCCTTCTGTAACAAGGCTCCCCTTATAGCTTTAGATTCCTCCGGTCATTCGCTATACCGCGAACCGATACGTCATTAATCCTAAGCGGTACAAACGAGCTCTCAGAAACGAAATATCCACGATCAGCGGTAACAAGATCTCAAAGAAGCAAACTGTAACTTCTCTCGCCGTCCACGAACGTACAGCCGTAAAAAGGTTTAGGTCAGATACGAAGTTAGCTGCCTAGAGAAAATGCAAAATAGATTCGGAGTGGAAAAAGTCACGGTTTCCTGGCTGTATAACTGAAAAGCGGGAACCCATTGAGAGGCGGTTTCGTCTGCGACAAGACGCAACGCGTAAAATATGAACAATTCGGCCGCGAGTAGGGACTCCGTTTGTGCAAGCTGCCTTGAATCTACAACATCGGCCAGGTCAGGTAAAGGCAAGTAGTAGTCGCACGAAGTACAAAGTTACCCTACCCGACGATATTCGCCTCATCAACTTCTCTCTACCAAGTTGCCGGTACTCGGAGCGTTCTTGTCTCGTTCAAGAATCTTGTACGCGTAACGAACGTCTCGGTAAGTTTCAAGGACCGAAATTTTGCCTCGCGTCACAGCCAGAACTTCGTTACGCTTGTTGACAATACCGGACTGTAGTTAGAGTGAAATCATTCAATTGTCTGAATTACGGTACACTACAACGTAAGCGCACTGCTATTCCACTACACTATCATAATTACCGTATTACGATCTTTAACAAGAATTTTTATTAATCCTTCTTTTTATTGATATACTCTAGTTCTAGATTCATAAAGAACGTAACAACTTTGAATCCTCTGTTATATTCGTGCTAGTATATTTGTCTCTTCACGTATTCTTTATTGTAATATAAATGTTTCTTCCGTTCGTTTTCTTAATTTAGCCAAACTACCAATTACATTACGCTATCGTATAGTAATTGTCATTACGATCTTTGCGACGAGAATTTATAGTAATCCTTCTTTTTATTGATATACTCTAATTCTAGATTGATAAAGAACATAACTTTAAATCCTATGTTATATTTGTTGCAGTGTTGACATATGTATATCTTTTCTCTTTGCGTATCCTTTACTATAATATAAATTTTTCTTTTGTTCGCTTTCTTAATTTCGTCAAACTATTTCATCAAACTACCAATTACATTACGCCATTGTAATTGTCATTACAATCTTTAACAAGAATTTTTATTAATCGTTCCATTTATTGATATGCTCTAGTTCTAGATTGATGAAGAACATAACAACTTTGAATCCTCTGTTATATTCGTGCTAATATATTTTCCTCTTCGCGTATTCTTTATTATTGTAATATAAATGTTTCTTCCGTTCACTTTCTTAATTTTGCCAAACTACCAATTACATTACAATACGTAACGAATATCTGTGTATCAAGACGTTTGCACCGTGGAGCTAATGTTTCAGTTTCGTTGGTTTCAGCTCGTGGTTTAGAGAAGGAAGAATCCGATTACTATCGCCGCTCTACAATCCATCTTGTCGGACGACTCGAGCTCGTTCGATTTCTCACGTTTTCTTTGGCGCTCTTCCTCCACCTCTTATTTCTCTAGCTTCTCTGCTTTTCTTATTTCCAAGTTGCTCTTTTCTCAACACTCTTCGCTTCTGTACTTCGCTTCCTCGCAAACTCCGCCGCTATTCGTTTCGTCCGATTTTACATGTTGCACACGAACGGATGTGAAAATGAAACGTTAATAGCTAGTAAATTATCCGCTGTATATTCCACGTGAATAATGTTCCAATCTATTCATAATATTAAAGCTCGCGAATGCGAAGGCGCTTTAAAATGAATCTCCTTTAATCCGCGTACTGACAAAGGCATCCGGCTCGCATTTCCGGCTCTCGGCTAATTTATTGAGAGATACATCGATATACGTACAATCGCATTACACGTACACAACTACACCGCAGGAATTAAGAATTAATCAGAGCAGGCATTCAGGAGAGCGGTCGTTAACTCGACCTTGGCAAGTCCTGAAATTCGAATTTGCGAGTTTTTACCGTCTGATTTCCCAATGAATGGCTCGAGAGTGATAAATGAACTACAGCTTGAATATTCGCACACGTGCAAAAAGCATACACGTAAGAAGCAACGTAAGAAGAGTATACAAATTCCTTTCTTTCGTTAATTATAACTTCAACATAGACGCGCTGCGTGCCCCAATACGCTCCAATCGTTCATTAGTCAATAAACTCGAAATTGCAAAATGTTCTCGGCACGATGGCCTTTGAGCTCACAAAATTATCGACGTCGGTACTTTAGCGGCCAAATACGCAAGTTTCGCCGTTTTATCGCAGCGCCTATCAAATCGCTTTACGATCGTGCCAGAGAAATTGTCGCAGTCGTCAAAATCGTCGATACGAGGTCCTCCGACGATAAGCGAGGAGAGGAAAATGACTTTCCTCATATCACCGTGTCGTCATCGTCACGTTCGCGGAGATGCAAAGTTCTCGCGTATATATGGACACGGAGATACGTTACACGAGTGCGAGTCCTGAAAATGCGCGGGCTACGATCGTACGAAATTCCGAATATGGTCCTTCGGCGATGTCGCAAAAATGCGAAAAACGATGTCGTTTAGTTTTATAGCGACGGAGCAAAGTGGTGTGTATCTATACGGCGAACTTCACCTCGGCAAGCATAAGTCTAAAAGTTGCCAGTCGGGCCAGGTAAAAGTTATCGGTCATTCTGTGCTTGTCTCGCCAGTTGCGCGATGCATATATCGGGGATATTAACGCAGTATATCATCGCGGAATTAATTGAGTTGTAATCGGTAATAATGCTATTTTATCGTATTCGATTGGACGAATTGCTTTCGTATTTATCGATACGCTGCTTTATCACCGCATTAATGTCCCACGTTTACAACCGCCGGAGCGCCGCTGTACCGCGCGATAGAAAGAGAAAGCGGTATTGATTAAATTATAAAGAAAATATATTTAGTGCCGGTTTGCGCGAATCCAAGCGAAACAAGAAGCAGGAGGTACACAACTCCTCGTGTTCCGTCAGTTATTCGCGGCTACCTTCTAAATCCCTCAAGATCCTCTCGCGATTAGCCGCTACAATATTGTTACGACCGCTTCGAGACACCCTGGCGGACTGCCTGGATATCGTCGCTGAGAAACAAGCGTGTGTTGTTTATAAACATTTTTTAAGGGGTCCTAAGTTTGGCCCTAGTTGACGGCGGACGCGAGTCTGGGCCGCTCCTGTGTAAATCGCTAATAAAGATCGTTTTCCCTCGAACAGAAGTGTCCTACTATTATTCTCGCGAGTGTTAGTGGTTGTGAGAGTGCGAGCGAGTGCCGGGAGTCCCGCTCCCTCCCGCGAACGTTGCCCGTTAGGCGTAACAATATAATTTTAAGTTTAACTTGCGCTGATGAAAGCTCTGTGTGCCGAAACGCGTCCGCGGATCTGTACTTCAACTGTAATATCTTGAAGTTAAAAATAGATAGGTGACACTCGGGAATCAACATTAGACTGTTTATTGCGATGAGTATTGCCATGTGCCTCGGTGGTCGAATTGATTGAGACGCCCGCCTAGCGAGAGGGAGGTCCAGGTTCACAAACCCTGGCCGAGGTGATATTATTTTCGCAATAAACTTAGAATAGAATATTTAGACACTGCCACCCTGTCACGGCTCTGAGTCCTTTAAATTCTTTGAAATTTGTGTTTAACACATAGGTACGAGCCATACTAATTTTTTAAAATATATATTGCTTTGTTAACTTTCGTGCTCGTCAAGATTGGCCTCCCTTGTTTACTTGTTGTAACAATATAATGTTTAAAAATCGCCTCAACGCCAAGGAGTTGGGGAACTTTTGAAGGATGGATCTTCGTAGCGGCATAACGCAATTAACAGCGCATAATGCGGCCGCTCACCTGGATCCAGTAAGGCAGGTAAAACCCAGAGCACGCCAAGATCGAGGCCACGGTGGACAGAGTAGCCCACAGCACGCACAGCACTGTCATCTCATCGGTTTAGAAGCGTCCGCCTCTCTCCCTCACGCACCGCGGCTCATCCTCCATCCGCATGCATAACCGTAGGGGACCAGCCCGCTGAACGGTGTCAGGATCACGAACTTTGACGCGCCCGCACAGGAGATCGGTATCTGCCTACGAACGTGGACAGCCGATCCCGACAGCCGCTCTCGACACCGTTGACCCTCGTCGATGTTAAATCGCCCTCTCTTTACGTCATGGCTGGCAAAAGGCGCCGATCGATCGTGCGAGTGACATTTATTAGGGTATTGATGTTCCTGTCGCGGCTCGTTTGACACTCGCGGGGCGTTAATCCCCGGGATCGATCGACCTCCTCCTAATCGCGGATCAGGACGTGCCTGGCGACGCGTTCTCTCTCGGGTACCAGCATCCGAGTGCTTTAATCATTTCCCCTTAATCATCGGGGTCCTCGTCGTCGTTTTCCGATGTAGCGCCGCCAACGAGAGGCCGCACGCGAAGCCGTTAATTTAGCTTCCGCGGTGGAATTACTCCGCTCGTAAAACGTGACCGAGGTGTCGCTCAGAATATCACTTCTCCGAAATGAGTCACGCGGTTAATTCCGATTGCCGCTCTGTAACACGCCTCGCGCCGCAAAATTCATACCGGGCGACGGGGGCGCGACTTCTCGCGAGCGCACGGGGAAACCAATAAGAAAGTTATCCTTCCGAACGACCGCACGGTTCACCGCTTCAAGTTCCGTGGTTGATCCGCTCAGTTTCCGCACAACTGCCACCCAGATTCAAGAAGTTCATTATTCCGCGGAGACTTATTAACGCCGTTTGTCGACGATCCTCCCTCGACGAGTGGCCCAGGGATCGCTTCGATCCGTAAATCTGCCTAGTCGTTCGCAATGCGACGTTTATTGCGATGTGCAAGCCGCATCCTTCCTTCTTTTTCCCTTCGCGTTGCTCATCCACCGATAGTCCACTTGTGGACTCGAAGCTCTTGCAGATATAGTACTTTGTTCCGCTGCCAGACGCTTCCTCCACGGTTAATTATAGACCTCTGACCACCGTCGCGGCTTCGCTACCCGCGCTGCGGTGCTCGCTCTCAGCCGCGTTCCCGATAAGCGAAGCATTCGTACAGTAAAATATTCATATCATCCCGGAGACAAGTCATCCGCAAAGCCGGGCGCCGTCACTCTCACGTTCGCGACGCGAAAAATCTCGAGGAAATCACAAAGCGGAAAATTGATGTCCACGTTGACAAGGTTGAAATTTAATTTCAGCTCGATGACACCTCTTTCTCGAGCGAACGGAGACGAGACGACTGACGACGAGAAGAAACGTAGCGTGCGCGGATGCGATCCGTCGTCGTCGTCGTCGTCGTCGTCGTCGTCGTCGTCCGCCCGTCGTCGTCGTCCGTCGTCGTCGCGCACGGCGCCGCTTCGTGGCTGCGACTGAACGGTTCCGTTCTCCACAGTCTCCACTCGGCGGCGTTTCTCCTCCTCTCCACTCGCTTCTCTCCTACCCACCCACGCCTGTTCGTGCCGCGCCGCGCCGCGTCGCGCCGCGACCGCACTGTGTGGGAGAACCGAAGGGTGCCCAGCGACGCACCAGCATCCCGCTCTTGGACATCTGGCGAGCACACGCCGTGCACGCGCTGGAGAACGGGCGACCGCGGATACACGCGTTACACGACGCGACGGACGTGTGCGTGCGCAACATAACACGTGTACGAGTCATGCTGCCCGCGGAACCCGTACGTTAATGGGAGATCAAATAATCGCACGTTTACCCTCCCACCCCCCCTCCCCCATTGCCATCCGTTAATCGCCGTTGTCCCAAGTTTCCGACGATGACGAGTACATCGGTGAAATCCGAAGTGGGATATGATTAGGAAACACCACCTCGTCGCCTGTCTTTTTATACGTAGATTGTAACAACTGGAAAAATCTCTTTTTTTCTTTATGCAAACGTGCTAAATAACAGTTCACACGTGGAACACGATCAATCCAGAAGTTAAATTGCACTAGCGCTTGTATGCAGTGTGTATAAAATTGTGCATTCTTGTCTGAGAATCCGTAAACTCAATATTTGTTACTATTGTTCTCAGCAGTACACGGTCTAAAGATGTTCTTTCCTAATACCACACAAAGTATTCGGCGTCTACTCTACGTATTGCGAGCTCTGCCACTTGGACACCCACAATTATGTACGATGATGGTAAAAACATCTGTTTGTACGATGACACGAACACACTGAGACTCTGCGCAAATAAACGCCTACAAGATAGAACTTGTCCGAACCGATTGCAGCTTCGTATGGGTATTGCTAGAGGTCGTTCCTACGTGATGCAATTTGTCCCGCAGTGATGGGGCCACTGCTACTTTTTTAAGGGCGGGAGTCCTGGAAGTTTTTGAATACACTGTGAATGTATAGATGGTAATTGTTAAGATCTTTTATATTGTGAAGGAATAAAGGACTACTATTTATTGCGAAATTTAGAATAAAATATTTAGACACTAACACGGCTCGTAGTCCTTTATTCCTTCAAATTTGTGTTTATCATATCTGAGCTATACCAATTTTGTTAATTTGTTAATTTAAAGACTCATGATTTGAGTCTGCGCGCAGTTCTCGTTATCGAATACTGTCACGATATGTGGCATTCGGGAATCAACATTAGACTGTTTATATATTGCCATGTGCCTCGGTGGTCGAATTGATTGAGACGCCCGCCTGGCGAGAGAGAGGTCCAGGTTCAAACCCTGGCCGAGGTGATAATTTTTCGCAATAAATTTAGAATAAAATATTTAGACACTAACACCCCGTCACGGCTCGTAGTCCTTTAGAGTAACTTATATAAATGTAAGTTTATATATTCTTGCGTTTAGAATAAATTGTCCCTCCATCTTACAACGCACGAAGTTGGCACCGCAATATTCAACAAAAGACGATAGATACTTTCATTTTATTCTAGATTTGAGAATTTTTTACTTAAGATTAAAATATTCCTTTTTCTGTTATAAATATGATTGGCGCTATATCGATCCTATTTTATGGTACATTGAAGTGTAATAGCATTGGATCCGGGAATTTTTTCTGTGAGTGAAGGTTTGAACCTGGACCTTCCTCTCACTAGGCGGACGTCTCGCCAATTTGACCCCTTTGATTTCTAATTATATTTTTTACATTAATCTGGCTTGTGTGTGTTTTTCTTTTCTTTTTTTTCATGTATCAGCACGATCGATACAATGACAAACGGACTCTAGCGGAGTCCCTGGTGTATCGGTTTAGGGATGAAGGGCTCGACGCTCCGATTGTCATGGTTAGGCCAAAATAATTGAGGGCTTATGCTGCCCATACACATCGCTACCATTACTCGTTAATAATGTCGCGACGTATCGTTTAATATAACATACCCTTCAATTCTTTTAGCTTACTACATAATATTTCAAAATCATCAAATCTTTTTAATAATAGATTTTTAAATCAATTTAGAGTGAATTTCTCCCTAACAAACATGTCGGATGCATCAATAACTTTCGAGTTATAAGAAAAACAAGATTATTACCGAGATTTCGCTACATTGTATGATGACAAATATACCTTTTTTTCTCTAAAAGAAAACACAATCGATAAAGTAAAAAAAAATTCGTTATCAAAAAATAGCCGGTGATTTTCAGACACCCTATACACGATGTCACAATTTATCATCAATCCCATTAGCTTACGTGGAAACAATTGCACAGCACATGAAAATGAACGTACGAGACAATAAGACAATTCTTAATAGCACAAACTTGGCATAGATCCAGAAATGATAATGCAAGGCGGAATGGTTTGTTGCCAAATCAGAGACACTTGCTTTTGTCACAAAAATCCTCTGTGCCTGAAACACGGAATTAGCCCGTAATTGCTAATGAAATTGTGTATGTCCCAATTCTATGTATATTGATACGAGGCGCTAATGCACAGCGTCGCCCCATCCACCACAAAGCCCCCCGGGTCGGAATTGACAATGCGTATGACCCGCCCCGTGCATCGAGCCTTTAGAAATTCGAGAAATCTCGTTGGTTCAGCAGCGTGCGGCTGGTAAAGTCAAAATGCCTCGACCGATGCGAAAGCCGCATTTGAAATCGTTATGATTAAAGAGACGCGCCACATCTAGCGCGACACGAGAGTTGGTATTTCAATCTTATTTTTTTATACAAAATTAATTTACGTAAAATTATCTGAACTGCACACGTGTACGTCTTCGATATATTTTCATTATCTATTCGTAGTCGTCTTACGTGTAGATGGCTCGTTTGGTAAATCCGCCACCGCATTGTTGTTTCGCCCAACTCTGCTCCGCGTCCATTGTGGGGAACCTCGTTAACATTTCCATCATCCATCATCGACATAGAGACGCTCTCGGTCGTTCCCGCCGGCTATCGACGAACGCGGGTGGTCCCGTTTAGTTAGCACCGGCTATCAGTCGCATTAGGAAAATGAACCGTCGCACCCTCAGAAAGGATTTCTGTTACTGAGACAAAAATATTCTTGATGTAATTTATATATTCTCACAACCTTGTTTAGTACAAAAATAAAATTAATAATTCTTATTCTCCTCTATCGAATTAAAAAAGATTGACTTACTATATTGGGACAAGAGTCTTCTTCTTCTTCCTCTTAAATTAGGCTTGAAGCCAGTTTTTTTTCCGATTAATTCGTCTCTTGTGATCCGGATGCCCAGCTGTCCATCCATCTCTTTGGAGGTCTTCCTGGGGGTCTTCTGGATGTTGGTTTCCCATCTCCTGCTGTTCTTGCTATTCCCTCTTCCCCCATTCTGGATACGTGATCGTTCCATTCACGAAAAAAGACAAGAGTAACTTATATAAATGTAAGTTTATATATTCTTGCGTTTAGAATAAATTGTCCCTCCATCTTACAACGCACGAAGTTGGCACCGCGATACTCAATAATAGACGATACATACTATCGTTTTATTCTAGATTTTAGAATATTTCATTTGAAATTAAAATATTCCTTTCACAATAATAAATATGATTGGCGCTATATCGATCCTATTTTATGATATTATACATCGAAGTGTAATAGCATTGGATCCGGAAATTTTTTCAGTGGGTTTCTCTCCGCAAGCACGGGGCAAATGCAAAAAGTCTCGCAACAAGAACAAAAGCGCCCAAGGAAAAACGCGATAAAAAAAACAGAAGAGGGCGGAAAACGACAATCCTACGACGTAACGTTTCATTTTGCGCGTAGGCGTGTGTGCGCGTAGGGTGCATGTGTTCAAATTAAGGTGATCCGACACAGTGGTGGGACGAGTAGATGGTTTCAAGTGCGGTAAAGTCTCATTTCAGTGTAAATATCATCGAGTTTTACGGCCGACGGCGTAACACGCGCGCTGCTGCGAAATATCGTTTGCGTAAGCACAGTTTTATGCGCTGCTTTGCCCGCCCGGTTACACAGCGTTACGCCGGCTATAACATCGTCGCAACAATTTTAATCCACCATCAATCGGCGAGCGTTCGCGGAGAGGGTCGTCGAGGAAAGATCCGAGGGGGAACGGCAGTGAATGCAGTGAAATTTTCTGAAAACGGAGAGCGAACTCTCCTTCCCTACGATATCATCGCGCGGGTCCCGGCTCCCCCGCCCGATCACCGAACGAGAAAAGCGCTATCTCCTCAAACAGATTATGAGTCTCGGATTTATTTTTACGACCGGCCAGATCCCAGCGCACTCGTCTCTGCGTCGAGGAGGAGAAGGAGCAGCGGGCGAAGGCGAGGAACTGATACCGGGCTCCCGCTTGGTTCGATGGCGGTACTTCGAATCATGACACCGTAAAATATATAGCGTCGCTTCTTATAGAAAGCAACGCGAGCGAAAATAATCATCGTCCAACGATCGAGGAGGCGGGGTGGGGCAAAATCGCCGGATCACCCTTTCGGGAGCAACGTATCGCTCCGTCCGATGCGCGACACCAGAATTGGTTTAATGCGCGTTTTCGTGTGTATCGTAAACCACGGCTGATTACCTAGGAAATTGAGATACAGATGAGACGTACGGGATGCTCTTCCTTCCTCCGCGCTCTTATCTCTCCCTCTATTTGCCCGGGTAATGAGCTTCCCGCCGTTACATCGTCGCTGCTGACGTTACCGTGGGGTGTGCCAACTCCACGCACTGAGAAAAAACTTTTGTTAACTGAACAAGACACAAATATTTGCAACAAATTTCATTTGTAGATATAGTGACAGCAAATAACACCGTAGTGGAAGCAAATGTGATTTGCAACTTTTGATTTGCTTTCGTCACAATTACACGGAGAAAAATAATTTGCTGACACAGCAGATTTTTTGCTGTTGTAGCAAAATATGGGGTGGGGTATCAATAGGCTTCCTATTAAAAAATTCACTTTGTAACTAATTGTTAAATTGTGTTAAATCACATAGTCATCAAAAGTATATTCAGGTTATTGAGGTCTATCCATGATCCAGACAACTCGCTCTCGCATCATATCGGCTCGCCTTTTATACTAATACGGGACGATTTTTACTTACGAGAAAGACGCGCCGGTCGCCACGTCGCGGCAGTATGTGGTACTAGTGCTATCTGTTCAGGAGGGAATCGGGATTTCGTTGTGATAGCAAATGTATTTGCTAAGAATATATTATTTTGCTTCGTATTTCGTATGTCCAACAAATAGAAAGAACTAATGTGGTTTGTATCGCAGACAATATATGATATGTTCAAATGTCAAATAACGAGACATTATTCGCAACAGCAACTAATCGATTTCTTTCCTCACCAAATCAGCAAGTAACAAACACGTTTTTGTTCTGATAACTAAAATATTTTTCTCAGTGTACACCTGTACTAGACTACTTGTGTAAACTGTGTATTTAACTTAACAGTGTTTTGACCCGTGTACATTTATTTAAAGAATCTTCATTTACGTGAATCCGTGAACACGTGAACGAATATCCGTGTACGTGACATATGTAAACATGTAGTCGTGTATACTTCAATAGGGAAATATTGAGAGAATTATGTGACAAAATCTGGATAAAACTTGGAATGCTGGAATTATGCGTATACATATAATATATCGAAAAACATATGCAGAAATAGGGATCTTTCATCAAATTTTGATAAATACTTGCACACGTTTACACGTATCACACTTACACGAATATTCGAATACACGTGTCACATACACGACTATACGGGCACACGTGTCACGTACACAGGTACACATGAATGAAGGTACCTTAAATCCGTGAACACGGATTACGTGGACACGTGAATCTTAAAACAAGTATCCAATCGATAGCCCTAATCGATACACACATTCAATACTTTTTGAAAATCGCGACAATGTTTTAATTTACACGCGTTAATAAATTATATCCTTTTCTTTTAAACATATGAATCGTTACTTTCTTACGTTTTCTTGTTCGTACACTAGGCATCACTGATGCCTTCCCAAATAAATTTAGGCACATAGAACATACATACATTTTCCATGTATGTATACGTAAAATGTTTAAATGTGCTCATATGTGCACAAATTCGGGGAAGGCATAAATGATATCTAATGTACATGCAGTAATGGACAGAATGGTTGCGACTCTTTTATAATGAATTTAGAAACGCACATTTAGATTCAAGTTTACGTTCCAAAACCTTTTCTCTTCGGATAATTTGACTAGAGAAATACATAAATCGAACACGCTCAAAATGGTTTCAGAATGGCCATCAAGCAAATATTCATCGGCGAAGAAGATTTTGGAACGTAATCTAAATGCATGTTCCTAAACTTACTTAAAAAAAGTGTCATAATCATTGTGTCCATCACTGTACATGGTAATAAGATGAGTAAAAACGTAGTATTTGAAGTTTGCTAATGTGTTTCCTGCTGCCTTCAGAATCATATCGTTTTCGATCGTCAGTCACACACAATTGCTATCAGCAAACATACGTGTGACAAAGATATAACGGAACTACTCTCGTTATTTTTGCTTCTTGGAATAATTGTATATGATTGTATCTTCTAAATTTTCTGAGCAGATTTACTTGTGTTTTTCTGTTTACATAAACTGGAATTACATTAAATAAAAAATTGTAATATATTTTGTGGTAATTTGAGGAAGTTTAAATGTTAGAACAAAACACTTGAACCGAGAATAAGCTTAATGGAACAATAAAAGTATATTTAATAATAATTTCATTAGATTTGACGAGCGTTAGAAAATGTTTAGTTGTTACTCATATCATCGTAAAATTACATGAATACATTTTTTGTTTTTTGAGTAATCGTTGGGGAGGTGGGATACTTATTTGAACGTCTGAGGATTTTCCCATCTTTTCCTGTCAAATCATTAAAAAGGAAAACGAATGGCGAATACCGATTAATTATCTAGGCGAGTTGCACGTTGTTAAGCCATTTTCTCTTTAAACTTAAGCCTCACAAAGGCAGAGCATAGAAACATCCAGGTGAATCGCATAAGAAAACCGTTATTTGATCGGGGAATCTCGTTTGGAAACTCGTGAGTAATTAAAAATTATAATATTATCAATTTTGATACTTTGTAAAATTCAAATGTCTATAACTCAAGAACTAATTAATCATATTTT